TTCCTGTGTCTTTGATTGGAAAAGCAATGCATGCCCATCGCCCAGATTGCAACAATTTAAAACGTGTAGCTTGAAAGCTGAAGGCACCTCCCACCCTTTTCCCTGAATGTGGTTATTTCCAATGGCCTCTGGACCAGGACATTTTCAGCATCAATCAAGAAGGCCTGATGCCGCCCTCCGGGACAGGGTACAGAGTGGCGTTTCTTCCCAGGGTGATCATCGATTCATTCAACGACTGTCTGAGTACCATTAGGAGCCTGTACTGGAGAGGCAGCTGTGAGGGAGGGCCGTGAGGCTCCAGCCTGGCCGCTGTCTCCGGCGAGTTGCCTGTTCCTGGTCTCCTCTGTGGGCAGCTCTCTCGCTGGAGTCTTTACCCAACAGCCTCTGGCTCCCAGGGAGGCCCGGGGGCGGGGCAGGGGGGTAGCAGCTTCCCGAGGGGCTTCCCACATCCACAGTAAGGGCTGTGCCCACGCCCAGAATGCAGAGTAGGATGGGGATGTGCTGTGGGCTTCCCTGCTGTCGAGCCATGTCAGGAGCTCCAGTCCCCTGACCAGACCCTTCCCTCCGACCCCGAAAGGCCCCGTTTGGGGTCTCTGCGGCCACCGCGCACAGCTGGCAGGTGTCCCGAGGGCAGGGGCTGGTCTTCCCTGACTAGCCAGGCTGGGCGCCCACTGTGTGCTCTCAGCGCACGTCTGCCGAACAGGTGCCCATGGCACAGGAGGAGGCTGTGGAGGGTGGGAGTGGGGCAGAGAGGCCAGTAGTCAGGGCAGGGATCAGGGCTTTTAGCAGGGGTATCTCTGTGTGGTGCCCCCTTCACAGTGGGGAGGAGCACTGGGGGCACGGGTGATGGCAGGAGGCCCAGCAGGAAGTCCACGGGGCCAGGAGCTAAGGGTTGGCTTATGTGCCTGGAAAGGGGAGGGATCACAGAGGGACCATGTGGGTGGCCCTTGTGCCAAAGTAGGTCAAACAGTATTTATCAGCTCTTTTCTTTTCTTCTTTCTTTTTTTCCTCTTTCTTTCTTATTTTTTATTGTCTAAGTTTTACATAAGTCTCTTTTTTCCCTCAATTTACTCTCCCTGCCCCCCTTCACCCCCCAGCCATCCCCCCCCCCCCCCCGGGCAAGTCACTACCGCCCCAGTGACTGTGTCCATGATTATGCTGATATGCATGCATACAAGTCCTTTGGTTGCTCTCTAACCACCCCCTTCCCTGCCATTTGTCTCTGGATCTATTCTTGTTCATCAAATTATGTTGATCATTATCCCCCACATATGAGTGAGACCATGTGATAGTTGTCTTTCTCCAATTGGTTTATTTCGCTTAGCATGATGCTCTCCAGTTCCATCCATGCTGTTGCAAATGGTAGAAGTTCCTTCCTTTTTACCGCAGCGAGTATTCCATTGTGTAGATGTGCCAGTTTTCTCATCCACTCATCTGCTGATGAGTACTCAGGTTGTTTCCAAATCTTAGCGATGGTGAATTGTGCTGCTATGAACACAGGGGTGCATATATCCTTTCTGATTGGTGTTTCTTTTCTTTTTAAAAAAATAAATTTTATTGATTTTTTTACAGAGAGGAAGAGAGAGGGAGGGATAGAGAGCTAGAAACATCGATGAGAGAGAGTCATCAATCAGCTGCCTCTTGCACACCCCCTACTGGGGATGTGCCTGCAACCAAGGTACATGCCTTTGACCGGAATCGAACCTGGGACCTTTCAGTTCTCAAGTCGATGCTCTATCCATTGAGCCAAACCGGTTTCGGCCTGATTGGTGTTTCTGGTTTCTTGGGATATAGTCCTAGAAGTGGGATTACTGGGTCAAATAGGAATTCCATTTTTAACTTTTTGAGGAAACTCCATACTGTTCTCCACAGTGGTTGCACCAGTCTGCATTCCCACCAGCAGTGCAGGAGGGTTCCCTTTTCTCTGCATCCTCACCAGCACCTGTCTTTATTGATGACAGCCATTCTGACAGGTGTGAGAGGGTATCTCGTTACTTTGATTTGCATCCCTCGGATGATTAGTGACTTTGAGCGTGTTTTCATGTGCCTCTTAGCTTTCTGTATGTCCTCTTTCGAAAAGCATCTATTTAGGTCCTTTGCCCATTTTTTTTATTGGATCGTTTGTCTTTCTTTTGTTACGTTGTATAAGTTCTCAGTAAATTTTGGAGATAAAATTCTTATCTGAAATATCATTGGCCAATATGTTCTCCCATGCAGTGGGCGGCTCTCCTTTTATTAATACAGGTCCCTTCGTTACACACAAGAATCATGCCTCCTTTAACATCACGTAACGATTCAAAATGGATGTTTGGACACATTCAGACAATGGAAAGAGTGCTGCTTTCTTTAATTCTCCTCCTAGATCTGGTCCCCCTACTTTAGAATCAAAGCCCAGACAAGCTGGAGCAGAGGTGGGCAGCTTTTCAGAATCAGTATGGGGGACTGACAGGAACAGCTGTGACAGGATCCATTCTTCGATGACTCCATTGGGAGCTGATGCCCCAGGCTCTGGAACAGGACTAATGGATGACACCTGGGAGCTCCAGGAGGCAGCTCCATCCGGGGCCTGGATGGCTGATTTCCTCTCGGACCCATTTCCTCTGCCCTCCCCAGGGGAGCCCAGCCCCTAAAATCCTCAGCAATCCCCTAACCCTTCCATGTGCTTTTATTCCAAAACCACTCATCTGCTCCTCTCCCTTCCTCTGAATCCCTAACGCCCGTGGAGGAGGTGTTCCGTCCAGTCCAAGGACAGCCATTTATACTAAGATGTAAGAGACTGATAGGCGTACCGCTGGCACGTGAGATTTTTAAAAAATTATTTTTATTATATATATATATATATATATATATATATATATATATATATATATATATATATATAATTTATTTTTTACAGAGAGGAAAAGGAGAGGGATAGAGAGTTAGAAACATCGATGAGAGTCATCGATCAGCTGCCTCTTGCACACCCCCTACTGGGGATATGCCCGTAACCAAGGTACATGCCCTTGACCGGAATCGAACCCGGGACCTTTCAGTCCCCAAGCCGACGTTCTATCCATTGAGCCAAACCGGTTTTGGCAGATTTTATTTTTTAAATTATGTTTATTTATTTATTTTTTTTTAAAAGTACATTTTATTTATTTTTTACAGAGAGGAAAGGAGAGGGATAGAGAGTTAGAAACATCGACCAGCTGCCTCCTGCACACTCCCCACCGGGGATGTGCCCGCAACCAAGGCACATGCCCTTGTCCGGAATTGAACCTGGGACCCCTGGGTCCGCAGGCCGACGCTCTATCCACTGAGCCACACCGGCTAGGGCGGCACTTGAGATTTTAAATGGGAGTTTGCTCATTCCAACACATCCTCTCAAACAGGTGGGATGTGCACGGCGGCTCTCTCCCAGGTCCACGTGCCCACCGGCCCCTCCTACCCCCGCGCGTCCAGAGCGGGCGCAGCTGCGGGCCCTTGGGCGGCGGAAGGCGCGGCCCCTCGCCCGGCGCTCGGGCCGCCGGAGGGGCGGGGACACGGCCCGGCCCGCCCGGCCCGGAGCGTCCCAAACCGCAGCCCCGGCCTCCGCGCGCCGGAAGGAAGCGGCCGCGGAGGAGGGGGCCCCGGGGGCGCCTCACCTGCCGCAGGGCCCCTCCCGGCTCTCCTCTCCGGGCGCCGGGCCGCGGGGGCGGGAGGCGTCCCCATCCCTCTGCCCACGCCGCCGCGCCGCCCGCCCGCCGCCGGGTCCCGGGCGCAGGGCCCCTCGGACCCCCGTCCCCGCCCCGCGCGCCTCCCCCTCCCCAGTCCCTGCGCGGCGCCCGGGCCCGGAGACCGGAGCCTCACCCGCCCCCCGACTCCCGGACCGCCTCGCCGAGAGGGCGGCGTCTGAGGGGAGGAGGAGGAGGAGGAGGAGGAGGAGGAGGAGGAGGAGAAGCGGGAGGAGGAGGAGGAGAAGCGGGAGGAGGAGGGAGGGGCGCCGCCCGTCTCCGGAGGCTGGAGCGCGCGTGGCCCCGGCGCCGCGGGGACTCGGCTGGCACCGCTCGGCGCGGGCGGCGGAGGATGCAGGCGGGCTGCCCCGGCCTCGGCCCGCGCTCCCGCCAGGAGGGCCCCGCGTGCGCCCCTCGCCGCGCCGCAGCCGCCGCCTCGGTGCCGAGAGGGTAGGGGCCGCCCGCTGCACCGCGCACGCCGGCCCTGATCCCGGGCGCCCGGGGTTTCCCAGCCCCGGCGCCCCCCTCCCCCGCGGCCGGGCGCCGTGGACACTGACGGCGGGGGAGCCGCGCTGCGGCCGGGGTGCGGGGCCGTGGCGCTGGCCGGGCGGCGCGGCCCCGCGGGGAGCAGCCCCCGGGCGCGCTGAGCCTCCCGCTCGGAGTCCCCGCACAGGTGAGCGCGCCGGGGAGGGAGGGAGGGAGGCAGGCGGCCTTCCGGGGGCGCACGGGCCGGAGGGGCTGGGGGGAGAGGAGGTAAACAGAGGGCGGATTCAGGGATCCCCGGGGCGGGCGGCCCGGCTTCTGTCTGGCGCGCTGTGCCCACGGCGTGGGCCTGGAGGAGGCTTAGGTGAGCAAGTCAGGGACCCAGAGAGGAGAGAGATCACGGGGGAGGGAGAGGCGGGGGGCGAGGGATGCAGTGGGGGCCGGGGCTCTGCGAGCAAAGGCAGGAGCCAGTGTCGGGGCGGCCAGTGCGGACGGAGCGTGCGGTCCGTGGTGGCAGGAGCGTGGCGGGCTGGGGGAGACCTGGCCGCGCAGCCTCAGGGCACTGGAGAGGGCTGGGCGGGTCGCAGGGAAAGCCCAGGCCGGGGGAGTGGGGACAAGGGTTGGGGGGTAAGAGCTGCTCCACTTCGGAGGTGTCCTTTGCTCCAGATGACCGGCGCAGCCTGTGCCCTGGAGACCCGTCCTGCGCCCGCGCGGAGGTGACCGGCGCTCCGCCTCCCCCGGGCCCCAGAGCCCCGCCAGGCGGTGGCCCGTCCAGAGAGAGAGGAGAACCCTCAGGCCGAGCCCCACCAGACGCCAGCCAGGATGCCCAGGCACCGGCAGGGCTCCTCCGAGCCCGAGCAGCCCTCCGCCGCCGAGCCCTCGGCCAGCCTGCCCTCGGACCCCGACCCCCGCCGCGCCGGCCGCACCCACGAGGTGTCCGTGCGGAGCGCGGGCGCCTGCCTCTGCCTGCCCGGCTGCCTGCGGCCCACCTTCGTGCCCGAGTCCCTGGAGAGCCTCTACCAGACCTACTTCCGGCGGCAGCGCCACGAGACGCTGCTGGTGCTGGTGGTGTTCGCCGCGCTCTTCGCCGGCCACGCGCTGGCCGTGTGCGCCGCCGCCTTCTCGGCGGACCGCCTGGCCCCGCTGGCCGCCGCGGGCGCCGGGCTGCTGCTGGACGCGCTCCTGTTCGTGCTGTGCCGGAAGGGGCTGCTGCCCAGCCGGGTCACCCGCAGGGCCGTGCCCTACCTGCTGTGGCTGCTCATCTCCGCGCAGATCTTCGCCCACCTGGGCCTCAGCGTGCCCGCCGGCGCCCACGCCGCCAGCGACACGGTGGGCTGGCAGGCCTTCTTCGTCTTCTCCTTCTTCATCACGCTGCCCCTGGGCCTCAGCCCCATCGTGGTCCTCTCCGTGGTGTCCTGTGCGGCGCATACGCTCGTGTTGGGGGTCACCGTGGCCCAGCAGCAGCAGCAGCGGCAGCAGCGGGACAGGCTGAAGGGGATGCAGCTGCTGAGGGAGGTGAGTTGGGCCTTCTCTCGCCTCCGGGTGGCGCCCTGGGCTTCCCCTGCCCACTGGGCTTGCAGCCCCGGTGGCCCCTGTGTCAAAGGTGGGGGAGGTGGGGGTCATGGTTCCCTTTGCCCTTTTGTTAAAATGTGCCCTGGGTGGCACCCCTACCGCCCCTTCTCTCAGCCACCTGTGCAGGAAGTACCTCCTCTCTCTCTTTTTTTAAAAATATTTTTTATTGATTTTTCACAGAGAGGAAGGGAAAGCGATAGAGAGCTAGAAACATCGATGAGAGAGCATCATCGACCAGCTGCCTCCTGTACACCCCCCCACTGGGGATGTGCCCGCAACCAATGTACATGCCCTTAACCAGAATCGAACCTGGGACCTTACAGTCCGCAGACCGAGGCTCTAGCCACTGAGCCAAACCGGTTTCGGCCGGACCTCCTCTCTTTGAACCCCTGGCCTTGCACCAGAGTTGGGCCCGAGGGACTGAAGGCTGTCGGGACATTGGGCCTCAGGGCCACTCGGCCACCTGTGCCCAGCTCACGTGGGCGGCGGCAGGAAGGCCTGCCCGGGCCTGGTCTCGAGGCAGCACTGTCCTGGCCATGCTCTCGTTGACCTTCGTCAGGAGGGCCTTGCCCCTGGGCTTCTTGGGCAAGTGACTGACTCGTGCGGCCTTGGCATCCCTCTGCCAAGTGGCCAGCGCCTGCCAGCGAGGTCCAGGGGAATGCGGGTGAAAGTGTGAGTCCCTGGGAGGTGGGGGGAAGGCAGGCGTGATTGTCACAGGCCCCAGGTCTGCCGCTGGGGCCCAGGGTCCCTCCAGCAGTTGGATGATCGGAGGCGTGGGGTGGGGACACAGGCGGGGACAGTGGTGCCAGCCGCGGCGGTGGAGCCTCCTGCTGGAAGGGTGGGCATGTGGCCCCCGCTTACTGCTGTGTCCACGGGTTCCAAGGCCCGGCTACGTGCGGAGGGGCTGCAGAGCCCGGCCTGCTGAGTTTATCACCGGTTTCCCACCTGGGTCGGCTCAGCACTCAGCGTCGATGAGTTAGTTCTACAGCTGTGAGCCCCGCCTGCTGCCTCGAGGGCGGAAGTGACCTGCCCCCGGCCACGTGGCTGGGATGGCAGTGACCCGGCCGGAGGGTCCCCTTCTCGTCCCGCCTCTCAGTCCGTCCCCCTGCTCTCCCGGCGACGTCACTCCGCCGCCTCCATCTCAGCCACGGCCGTTAGCACTGCCTCCTGGGGCGGAGGGCTGAGCCTCCAGGTGCCCGGCGGGGCCGTCGTGGTTGATGCAAGAACCCCGTGGGGCCGTCCCACGGCTGCCGCCCTGGTTGGAGGAAAATACCGGTTTTTCTCGGGGTTTACGTTCTCCTCATTCTTGGACCGATGTTCTTCCCGGGTCCCATCACGGCTCATGGCCGCGTGGTGCCTCTGGATTCTGCAGGCGCACGTGGACAGGCCCCCGGTTTTCTCCCCGGGACGTGTTCGGAAGGCGACAGGCTGCCCGCACTGCCCTGGCTGCTGGGCTGGGGACGCGGCCGGTGCCTCTGCCGGCGGAGGCCCCGGGGCAGCTTCTGCGGGGGAGGGTGCGAGCAGCCCGGGCTCTGAGTGCTCGGGCTGACGGCGGCCTGGAGCGCGGCCTGGACCGCAGTCCCCTCTGCCAGGCCCGGGGCAGCAGGGGTGTCCCGGATGCAGCTCTGCTTGTCCATGAGGGAGCGAAACAGAAACTCTTCCCCATCGGAGGAGCCCAGACTCCGGACCCAGGGTTGCTGCGTGTTCTGTGGGGGTTGCTAAGAAACAAAACCCAAACAGACGAGGAAACAGAAAAAAAGATAGAAAAAAACTAAGTAAATCCAGAATAACCACGTTCGCATCCCAGGAGAGCGGGGCCCGGACAGGGCGGCAGCGCCCGGCGGGAGCTCCGAGGAGGGAAGGGGATACTGATTTGGAGCCTGGGATACGGAGCGTGGGAGGCCCCGGCCTTCAGTGGGCTGCGCTCCAGAAGTTTCTGAGTCACTTGTTTGGGACGAATCTGACTTTCCAAAAGGTGCCTGGGTTCCCAGGGCCCCTCAGACACACACACACACACCGTCCCCCTGGGCACCAGAACCCCCTCGGGGTGGGGGCACCATCAGGGTAGAAGGGGGTGGGGCCGGAGGACGGGACTTCGGAGGGGGGTGGCCAGAAACCCCGCCCCCGTCAGGGGAACTCCGGGAACTTTGTCCAGGTGCCAGGCACCTCCTCTCCTCTCTCCTGTCTGCAGACTCCCCATGTCTGTCTCTCCTCCCATCACCTGTGGGCTCCGGCCAGGGAGTTCCTTCCTCCTGGGTCAGTGGGGATGAGCCCAGGCTCACAGTTAGAAGTAGACAGTGACCCTAACCGGTGTGGCTCAGTGGATAGAGCGTCGGCCTGTGGACTGAAAGGTCCTGGGTTTGATTCCGATCAAGGGCAAGTACCTGAGTTGCGGGCACATCCCCAGTAGGGGGTGTGCAGGAGGCAGCTGATCGATGTCCCTCATCGATGTTTCTAACTCCCTCTCCCTCTCCCTTCTCTCTGTAATAAATCAATAGAATATATATATATATATATATATATATATATATAAATTTTTTTTTAAAGAAGTAGACTGGATTTCTGGGGTTCAGGGCCCAGGTTGTGTTCCTCTGCACCCTCCAGCCCCCCACCCATACTGGGCTCTGTGGGAGGAATCCCGAGAGGCCCGGAGCCCCAGGCGGCCCGACACGCAGAGCCAGGCCATACAGCGGCCTGGGCTCTTTGCGGGGCGGGCAGGTGGGCTCCACAGCGAGCAGAGGAAAAGTGGGGTGGGGTGGGGGTGGGGCGGGGGTGTTGCTGGGGCTCCGTGTATTACTGAATGAGTGAAGGTTACTGAGCAACCGGCCTGGGCCTTGCAGCGGGCAGGGCCTGGGATGAAGGGGCCAGATGGTGACCGTCGGAGGCTGTGGTGGAGGCTGTGGCCTGGGGCTGGGGTACTGGGGGCTCGGAGGACAGGAGGGCTGAGCTGCCGCGGGCAGGGTTTCCCCACATCCCTCCCCGTGCCTGGGTCCTGGCACCACCAACTTGCCCTTAACTGCCACCAGCTGCGCCTTGGGTGAGGCGAGGTAGCAGTTGGGAGAAGAGGGTGGGAGGGGTTTGAGGGCAGGACCAGGCAGCAGCGGATGGGAGAGGATGAAGGAGAAGAGGGGGGTGGGGAGCACTCCTGTGGCCAGTGGCCGCTCCTGAGGCGCCCCCATGTGCCCATGTTCCCCTGTTAGGTTCTCCCGGGGCCATCGGAGGACTGAGTCTGTGGCAAGTTAGGGGTAAGGACCCCCTGGAAAACACAGCTTGACGTTACAGCAGAAAGGCTATTGGGGCGCCCAAACCATCGAGAGGCTGAGGGGTGTCCCGGGGAGCGTGTGCAGAATCCATGGGAGGGGAGTTCAGGGTCCAGCGTGAAGGAGCAGCCTAGTGGTAGGGGAAGCACCCAGGCCTGTCCCAGCCCTGTTTCCCGCCAGCTCTCCCTGGTCCCCGGCGGCTTGTGATGGCGGATGGGCCATTGGGTGCAACAGGCAGCCCGGTGTGCTGGCGTTTGCACCCTGGATCTTGTGGGGGGTGGGGTGGGGCCGGGGCGTCGGGTGGGGGCTGGCTGCTCATGGGTCTACAGGTGAGCAAGGGCGGGGGGGGGGCGGGGGTAATGTGTAGAGAGGCCCCTTGCAAACCTCTGCTGCCTTTTCGACTGAACACACCACCTCTGACCTTCGCTCTGTGAATGAATCAGACCAAGTTCATTTACTGTCCTTCCTCTCACCTCTTTGTGTGCAACCAGCTGGCTCTTTGCTTTTTCTCATTTTTTACGCATTATTTTATTTTTATTATTATTTTTACACAGAGGAAGAGAGAGGGATAGAGAGTTAGAAACATTGATGAGAGAGAATCATCAACCAGCTGCCTCCTGCACACCCCCTACCGGGGATGTGCCCGCAACCAAGGTACATGCCCTTGACCGGAATCGAACCTGGGACCTTTCAGTCCGCAGGTCAACGCTCTATCCGCTGAGCCAAACCCTGGTCCGGGCTTGAATATATTCTTTTAAAGACTGCTCTCTGTGATGAAACGCTTCATGGTGTTGCAGAAGCTTTGGGAACGAGAGGGAAAACGTCCCACTGTGACCATGTTTTTGTGCAGTGTGTTCCGTTCTCATCTTCCCTACGGAAAATTTAACAAGGCCCCCCGGCATCGCCCCTACGTTCCTTCCTTCGCCGGAGAGCACAGGCTCTTTGCGTTTTGAATTTGTCTTCCCAGCCCCCATTCCTAAGGGCTGCGTCTGATACTGGCTAAGAGTGCTGTAATTAAGCGTTCCTTGTCTGTAGGACGTTGGGTTACTCTCAATGAACTCACCAGAGGGTTTCCTTATTTACGTGCAGCCCCAGCAGGCCCGGTGCTCTGCTCCCTTACCCTCCTGGCCACGGGGGGTGTCTGGTGCCTCTTCCTCCTCCGATCCCTGCTGCTTCCAGCAGAACTCATGGTCCCTGAGCGATCAGCTTTCATTAGCAATGAGACCGTCCTGTTGCGTCCCCCTTTCCTCTCTTCGGGAACGTTTTCTTGGTTGCAAACAAAATGAAAATGAAAATGACATGTTTCCAAGCAAATCCCACCCCACGCTGGAGCCCCATTTGAAACCCCCGGTGAGAGGTCTGGATTTGAACTTGGCGAGATCTCCATGGCTGTGGTTTATTGGTCCCAGTGAATGTAATGGTGCCAGCTGAGTAGGATCTGGGTGGGTAAGGCCTGCCCCAGCTCCGAGGGGGCTCCTCAGCTGCCCTGGCAGGCAAAGGGACAGGCCCGGGGAGTGGATGTGTGGGCCGGGCGTCCTTTGTTGCGGATCGAGGGGTCCAGAGGGCTGTGAGCTGTGTCCCCTGCTCCTGGGTGGCCGCCTCTGTTCCTTTCCTCCAGGGCTGGCGGCGCGCCCCTCCCGACCCTCGTCGCTGGGTTTCGGGGCAAACGGGATCGTGGGGCTC